GCGCGTATTTCAGGTTCCTGATCATTCATTTTTTAAAGGTTTATAACTTTAAATTAAATTGTGAAGCGCTGAGTAATCATACGACGTTCAATATTCTTTCTTTCAATATGACTAAACAATCCCAATTATAGCGATCTGATACTCATGTCTCAATGTTTTTTTCGCTGAATGTGATGAAAACATTTGAAAAAGGTTCGCTTATTGAAATAAATCTACACCAGTTAGTACTTCGATTTCCAGGTAAAGGGAAAAGGCTCATTATCTGCCATATTGGCAGTGAGGATGGATTTGTTGTTGACGGTCTGTGGTGCTTTGAGTCTAAGAAAACTGGAGATTACCACTAGGAAATGAATGGCGAATCGTTTGAACAGTGGTTTTCAAAAATTTTACCGAACTTAGAGGAAAACGCAGTAATTGTGTTGGATAATGCGCCTTATTATTCTCGAAAAATGGAGAAGGTCCCAACAACGGCTTCAAGGAAAGTTGATGTTCAAAATTGGCTCCGCTCGAAAAATATCAACTTTGAAGAAGCAATGCTGAAAGTACAATTATTAAGAATTGTCAAGGATCACAAGGCGGAATATCAAAAATACGCCATTGATGAAATGGCAGCAAGTCAAAATAAAACTGTGCTCCGTTTACCTCCATACCATTGCGAGCTCAATCCCATTGAGCTCATATGGGCAGAGGTTAAAAATTATATAGCTAAGCACAATACAACTTTTAAATTTTGTGACCTCAAAGGACTTTTCAAAGAAGCACTAGAATTAATAACAGCGCAAAAATGGGAAAACTGTATTAAGCACGTGAAAGACAAAGTTGAAAAGAGAATGTGGGAACTGGACAATATTTTAGAGGAACAAGTCGAGCCATTCATTATTGACGTTGGTGCTTCAGGCAGTAGCGATGATGAAAGCTGATCAAGCTCATCTTTCCAATAAAAGATGTCGTTCATCAAATTCGGTAAGTTATAAGTAATTATAAAGCTACTGTATTTTTTAATTAATTATTGACATTTTTGAACCCATTTTGGCAATACCTATTCAAGAATCTACTTTCTGACAATGTTCAACCATGCACATTTTTTTACGTTTGAACGTTTTAATTTGGTTACATATTTACCTAGAAATCAAAAAATATACTAATCAATATTCTAAAAGCAATTTTAAGAGATATACGATTATTTTTAATTTAGGCTAATTTAAACGCCATTTTGAGATTATATTCGACTGTGTTGCACCAAACATCAGGCGGCATCCGAAGCTGGAAATCGAAGCGAAAATTTTGAAACCCTTATGTATATTTACATCATTATATATTTCTTACCCCACCCCCACATGATCCTATATCCATCACCAATCGTATACACATCGAATTGTGCTAATTTACTACAAAGTTACGCAAAGCAGCATCTACTATCTAAAATATGTACTGCGTGACTCTTAATACGTACCTGCCGAATGTTACAGCGTTCGATGATCACGTGGTCTTGTTTATGTCCGGTCTATCTCTTATCTGAATATACTGTAATAGAACATCTGAACAAATAAACAATGTGCGAATAAATGCGCAAAGTTAACAAAGCAACAATTGAAAGATTACCATTGGGTAACATCACCTTTATTTTTTATTACGGCTGAAATTCTTTGGGGCATAGCATGTCGTAGAACGTTTTTCATGCTACAAAGTTTCAATAGGTGACAGATCTGGACTACTAGAAACCCATTTCAAAAGTGGTACATTATTTTCTTCCATCCATCCATTTTATAGCCTTTTTTGAGGTATGGCACGCTGCACCGTTTTGTTGAAACAGAAAATCTTGGCCGGATGACAAACATCCTTCCATCACTGGTAAAAGCGATTCTTCTAAAATTGCCAAATGTTTGTTTGTATCCACATTTCCATCAATGAAACATGTAATGCTTTTTTTTTGCGAATAACTCTACTGCGACTGTCACCAACACAAACTTGGAATCGGGCCTCATCACTCCATTGTATTGCACACCATTGTTGAGGTGTCCATTGTCTATGTTCTTTAGCCCATCTAAGCCGATTGTTCTTTTGCGGTGGAGTTAATAGTGGCTTTTCTTTGGCCTATAAACAAGTTGTGCAATTTTAGGATTTTTACTTCACTTTTTTTTTGTAAGAAAACTTACCTTGCAAGTGCTAAATCCCAGTTTGTGGGACTCTCTATGAGTTGTGGACCTCGAAATTCTCCTTCCAACAGCGTCACTCCACAGAGCACTTAATTGTAAATAATTGGCACGCCTGTTTTTCACGATTATTCTTTTTAATGCTTTTCGGTCGGCATTTGTGATATTACTTCTTTTCACATATCGTGGCTTAATATTAACTGAACCAGTTACGTTATAGCTTCTTACAATATTTCTCACACGGTACCGCGATAAGTCTAACAAAGTTGCAATTTCTGAGTTTGATTTCCCAGAATTAGAAAATTTAATTATCAGTAACCGAATTTTCTCACTAATAACCTTTCCTCTACCCATTTTGAAAACCTTAACCACCCAAAACTATTTTAAACGTATTCTGACAGCTGTGATTAATAAAAACAATTGTCATGGCTTTTATTTTTCACAGCCACCTATGCGTTATAGACTTTCTTTGCATTGAAATGAAAATAGGTTGATATCCTATAATTGCAACATGTGTTATTTTTATGCTGCAAATTTGATCAGGGAGTGATAAAGTTGGTGTTTTCTACTATATATTATCAAAATATTTATTGTTAATATTTTAAACCTATAACACCCTGCTACATTTTTATTATTTGTTTTTGATAAGAAAAAACTAAGATTTCACTAGTTGGGCCAACTGAAGTGGGAAGGGGCTCGTCTATCATCCCTGCGCAGCTTCAAAATGCAAAACACCCAGTTTTGTACAGCGCTTTACATAATACATTATTCAGTCTTTGTTGGCATACAAAATCTTCGTAATGAGTTTAATTACACGATGGTGCTGAGGTGAAGTGTTTGCGTGTGCAGCAGTTGACAGTTGATTGTGCAGGCCCGGTTGCACAGCCAGAGTGTTTACCTTTTGTAAAATCAATATAATTTAATGACGGCGAAGGTGTTCGAAGCCGAATGTTGCTGTGCTGGACGAAGAGGTAATTGCTCCGATTTGCGCGTCGGCTGGGTCATGAGTAACCGTGGGATACCAACCGTGTAGATACCGCATGCGAACAAGGATTCCTAAGCAACTGCACGGGAAGAGAGAAAACACCTACGTCATAAAAAATGTGCTAGCACCCAAAATTTATCAGCATCCTGATTCAATGAGAGATAATTTTTTTACACCGAAGCATCCGCACAGGCTGTAGCCTAAATGCCAGGACACCACAGTTGCTATGAGGAGCTTAAAGAAACTTTGTAAATCCGATTTTTGAACCGCCTAAGCTTAGTAGAACTCGGAAAAGCCTCCTCTGGTACGTTGTACCGCAATCTCGATACAATAGGGAGAAAGGAGCGGGCTGAAGTTAGGCGGATCTGACTGGCAGGCAAATCGCGCGGGCGCATCATGGAGGAGAGCCCTGAGGAGTAAAGCATCCCACAAACCCAAAGTATTCGCAACGAAATTCAGAGCGAAATTCGCAATCTGTTTCGCCTGTTTATTCATACCAAAGCGTCTTATTCGCTCCGCGAACGTGAAGGTTTCGACAGGTTGCGTACATTTTATTTTTGCCTTTTGCAATGAGCTCGTCTTCAGAAGAAGAGGAGGCACTTCTATTTCTTGCTTTAGAAGAGGAACAAAATGCACGGTAAGTTATGTTTATTTAACGCGATTTGATAGTTGGGTATGTATTAAGTTTAACGAAGTACATAAAACAAATATTTTCAATTTTGTTTAGGAAACGAAGGAAGTGGGTACATGATATTAACTTGGAACGAAATAAATTTGGGGAATACCATACCTTAATGCCACAACTTCGGCTGGATGAACAGCGCTTTTACGTATATTTTAGAATGACTCCAGAGTGTTTCGATGAAATATTGAACTTGAAATACGAAAATCTGACACAAATTATCGTGAAGCTATTTCGCCAGAAGAACGACTTGCTATTACACTCAGGTAAAAAAATTATATGTATTAAAATTAGTAAGCTTATCGAATACGAAAACTTCAGGGATCATGAAATAAATATTTTATTGTAATAATTGGACTACATGTTGCCACTAGGATTAAATGTTGCTAAATAATTCGAGGCAGAATTTGCCTCCTCTGTTGGGTATATTATTGGAGTAAACCCAGTGCCGCTTGGGAAGGACGACATACTACTATCATACATACTTGCAGAATTCTGGGTAGACGCTGAAGACATTTCTTCAATATGTTCAAATTCTTCGTGCGCTATTAATTCGGCTATTTTTAGTTTTATTCGGGCTTGACGCTTTAAGGGAAGTGTTTTCACAGTCTGTGCATGTGCCAAGAAAAGTGAATCAATGGCCTCGTTCTCTTTTTTAGGTTTTTTACCTTCAAAATAATTAATGAGCTGTTGTACAGACGAAGATGGTGGTTCATAGCGTTTTCTGTTCGTTTTATATTTTGGTGTAGTTGCAGTCTGCGGAAAGGTGTGCCCTGGAGTAGTCACTGCTGTAGTGTTCAATGAAGAAGGTGGTGCTGTCTGTGTTGCCGAGGCGTTCTGTGCATCTTCTGCATCTACATCAGCATTTTCATCTTCTCCATGGCCGCGGTCTTCCAAATTTTCGGTTTCTACATTTCCAGCCCTTTCCTGATATATATTTGAGTTAAATTCGGCAGTCTCATAATGTATAATGTCAATATCTTTCACATTAGACGACGTTTTGGCAAATGCCAAAAAAGGACGGAAAAATTCCATGTAGTCAGCTAGTCAGCCCATTGCCATTTTTTTATGTTGCCCACTGCTTGGCCGGTCTTTGGTTTGGTAGATTTTATATATTTTGCAAATGTGTCTCTGATATTCTTCCACCTTTTTTTTACTTCATCACCGAAAAAGATATTATAGATTCCTTGCCACTGGTGACACCTTCTATACCATTGGGCATAGCTTTCGAGTTGGCTTTACAACAGTGAGTGCAATCGTAACCGAAGTCTGTGAAGCGATATGCAGACATACGGAGCATATATATTTACCAGAACCAACAGAGAATATATGGAAAAAATGTGCTGAAGAATTTGAAAATAGATGGGGATTTCCCAGTTGCATTGGCAGCATGGACGGTAAACATGTAACCATCAAGAGACCTAACAACAGTGGCTCCAATTACTGGTGCTATTTACATAAATATTCAATAGTACTTATGGCCATTGTTGGTCCGGACTATACATTTATATGTGTTGATATTGGTGGTTTCGGAAAAAATAGTGATGGGGGTATTTTCGAAACCTCAAACATGGGAAAACGATTTGAACCTAGATTTCTCCCTGGGCAAAATTAAATCTGCTCGTACGTCTTAATTGGTGATGAAGCATTTGCTTTAAAACCATACCTTATGAGACCATTTCCTTATAAGCAGACTTTAACAGACGTCAGAAAAGAGAAATACAATGTAAGACTTTGTCGAGCTAGAAGGGTCGTGGAAAATGCGTTTGGTATTTTGTCTCAAAAATGGCGAATATTTTACAGGCCATTAGAAACTAAAGTAGATACTACTATTCTAATTGTACGTACGGCATGTGTTTTACACAATTTTTTACGAAGTAAAAGTGGCGATGACAAATATTTTCAATTCTTAGATCCCCCAGAACCCGTGCTTGGAGCTTTTACTGATATAGCAAATGATCCTCGGCGGGCAGCAAGGCTAGCATTTTCTACTCGTGACAAATTCGTAAATTATTTTAATTCTGATATGCCTATGCCCAATATACAGGGTGACTTTGAAGTTGAGTCATTAATTTTCAGATAATGATTGTAGAAGGAAGATAAACCAAAATATGTGTGTAAAAATAAAAAAAAAATAAAAAAAAAATTTACCTTGTTTTATAAAGTATCCTCCCGACAAGTATTTCAGTGCGGACCTGTATTTGATCGTGAGGTCCCCTGTGAGGTCTGAAGTCACCTGATTCACGAGCCCGTTGTACTACATTAACAAAGGCACGAGGGGTTGGTTGCACTCGATTGGGAAACCGATCCGCATAAACATGTGCCATTTTTTATTTCGTTTGAGCCACGCAACAGACACTATTCACACGCGACTGACACTAACTGTATGCATAACTGAACTGAATAAAATAAACATCGTTCCAAATTCTTTCGCTTTTTTGTTTCCGATGCGATGAACCGATAAGGTGGATTATATCCGTTGTTGCCAAACACGAGTACATGATATTATTGAGACAGGGCAGTACTCAAACTTCCAAAGGGCTATAACTTTGTTACTTTAATTTTACCAGAAAAATGGTAAAGGAAAAAAACATTTCTTTTGATCAGATCTACTCACTGTTAAAATAAATGACTCAACTTCGAAGTCACCCTGTAGACTGTAAATTATTTAACAAGTTAATAAAAAATGTTAGGTACATACTATTTGTATTTAATTCTTTTCCTATTTCCATCCAAATCTTGTCTTTCTTTCTCACATTCCTGTATTCAACGTTCGATAAATCATACAAACAAGGATACTTTTTCACTATTTCTATCAATAATTCCGTTTTTGCCATTGCGAATTTTTGAAGAACGGCGTCAAAAACGCGGTCAAAGGCGAACTGAAATACGCCGCGATAAAAACGCTGGAACAATCGCATTCGCTTCGCACATGTCTGAGCCTGTACGTAAACCGCCGCGTTTTAATCTGATCGCGAATTCATCGCCGCGAAATTTTCGCAGCCAAAGCGAATATTTCGCGCCGGTTTGTGGGATGCTTACAGGTCGATGGCGTAGCGATAGCAGAGACCTAGATCGCCGACGGCCTGCCGGTGAGAAAGGGTCCCGAGACTGTCCGATAGTCAAGAGTAATCGATCATCAGAAAAAAGTACCACCAAGCCCCAAACAAGTAGCCCAGGTTTTTCTCAGCCGCTGCCGTTATTGACGAGATGTGTTCATGCTATATCAAATCCTTTGGTAGATCGGAACAGGATGAGCACTAAGACGCTTCTTGTTTGTCAGGGTACAGTACTGTGTTTTGGAAGCATTGAACTGCACCTGATTGTTCCGTCCCCAAACAGTGATACCTCTATGTCTCTCGTCAGAGAGGAAGTCGCTGCTAGTCTTCTTTTCTCTAGCTCACAGCAGCGATCGTCTTGTCACTCCGAATTCCTGTATTTAGAGTGCTGTCATCGGCAAAGCTGTAGATTGGATCGACCCCACAGAAAAGGAAGTCGCTGATATGTAAAAGGAACAATGTCAAAGCCAAAACCGATCTCTGGGGAACACCCGCGTTGACGTTGTGGGATAAAGAGGAGAACTCGTCAATTACGACGGATATCTTGCAGCCACCCATCTGGAAAGCTTCCCGAGGAGGCTATAGGATCGGAGTTTGCAAAAGAAGGCAGCATATCACATCTTATGATGAGGCTCAGTCTTATGACTGGATGCGTTTACTCCATAGTTGCGTGACGTTAGCTAGGAGGTCCCTTGTGGATGGCTAGTGCCGGAAACCATACTGCCTGACGCTAATCAAGCCGTACTCAAGAAGCTCCTAATTTATGCACCTCTACATCATCTTACTTACATCAGAAATCAGAGCTATAGGCCTGCAGTTGTAAGGGTCGGTCTTAGATCCTTTCTTCGCCATGGGTTGGTCATATGCAGTATATGTGTAGACACATCTTCATCCTCTAGGCCGGTCCTTTGGGCAGTGTATGCATAATGCTGCTTATAGTCTGCCTATGCCGATGTTTCACAGTGATACAGAAGAACACGTTTTATATGGTGCAGTTTTATAGCTAGTTTATACTAGCAAATTTATGATCTTCTTGATAGAGGGAAGCTGTTTCATTTCGGGGAATCGCCTGAATACCTGGATAGTAGGATAGAAGAGCTTGCCCTCTGTCTCCGCCCAAGTATTGTTCGAAGAACCTGGATACTATGTATCAGATACTAGAGTCCACCAGAGCGAGGTAATAGATTACACTTATCGTATTTGGATAGATCTTATACTTTCGACAGAGGATACTTTGCTTTCGTTCGTACACGGCCCTCTGTTGGTCGAACAGGTGGAAGCAGTATTACTGTAATTATTTGGTAGAGGCTGAATTGTTCTTAAACCCGTATTAAGCTTTACGCAGTTAGAGTTTATTCTGTCACGAACTGCTTTTCTTTTCACACTTGTTATATATTTCTCTCTTTCAAGTTTTATTCTATCAAAAGCTTACAAAACCGACTTAACCTTTATACAGAGAAATCCAAATATCACTGACAAGGTAATGTGTTTGAGAGAGAAGCGTGCAATACGTAAGTTAGAAAGGGTGCGCCGCTGGCAACGTGACAAGCCGCAGCTTCACCGTATTGCACGCTTCTCGCACTCCTATCTCGTACAAGTTACGACGTCAAATGTATGAGGATTTATCTGTATACCCTAGAATATATGAAGATCATGTCACGTGCCAAAATTACGTAACCTTTTTTTTACCATTTTGATTACTTAGTATTACGTAAGCAGATTTATTATAATTATTTACCCCCCCATCCCCCTCGTCAGGGAAAGTAAGCAAAGCTCTTACCCCCTCCCCCCATGCTTACGTAAACATTTGTCAATTAATGTATTGTTTTTTTTAATATTATAATTATAACGTTGTAATTATAATTTGAAAAATAAGAAAATAGATTTAGGATAGAGATTATATTTTACTGATACGGTATTCAACATAGAGTAAAGGACAAAAATATTATATCTTACTAACATAACAAAGTTATTTTAAATTTTTCGTACATATATTAAATTCAAATTAACAGTCTTCAGTCCATGAAACCCGAATCCATCATTCTAAGTTTTCGATGACATTGGATTGCTTCGATTGCTGCTCAGTGTTGTAAGTTTGCTCGCTTTCATCGGATTTTGGAATGTCAACGTCGTTCTCATCGAGCCATTCAACATCATGGTGCTCGTGAACCTTCCTGTTTGAAGACTGTTTTGCTGTTTTTATTTCCTCGCGCAACTTAATGATCTGTTTATCAACTTCAGCACGGCTTGGCATAGTATCTCTGGCAGAATACAAAGCATTCAGATTTTTCTCGAGTAGAGCAATCTTATTTTTCATAGCTCCCTGAGAAGGTTTTGCTCTCTGTTTATCTGTATTTTCATTAATTTCGCATTGCTGTTGTGATTCATTACCGGGTTTTATTTTGTCTTCTTCCTCTTTTTTAATATTTGAAGCTGACTGTATAATTTGTGTTTTTGCTGCAGGTTTATAGGTTGCCTAAAAATAAAAACTTTCTATGGCTTCTGCTAAAGATTCTCTTATTAAGCTACATAAATACAAAGTATGGCAATATATACGGTAAATACAAAACCCTATGGCTTTAAATCTAATATGTTTAAACGAGCAATTCGTTCCGGTCACAAAATACAGGGTGTTAGTTTTCTGTATATATGTATTAAAACTAACATCCTGTACTTTGTGACCAATTGACGGAATCAGTCATAAGAAATAAATCTATAATATAATGAATATTACTTTGAGATAGGCCATAATATTTTCTAATCAGTAAAGAGAAACTTTGTGGCGGTTTCTAATATTTCTAGTACTCATAGGTACCTAAAATGATTTCGTCACTCACCTTAGAAAAAAAATTTAGTAGATTGGATTTATTCTTAGTCGCCGCTTGCAATTCTTCTTCGATTCTCTTAGATACAATAATATCTAGTTCCTTGTCGAATTTTGTTTGTAATTTGTAATTTCGTCACACTTCGTCACACTTCGTTAACTAACTTTTGTCCATTTTGTACTTTCGTACTTGTATGAGATTTTTTAAATCTTTCAAACAATTTGTGGTATAACTTGGATTTGTCTATGTGAAACGACATCTTATTTAAACATTAAACTGGCTAATGGAATCAATGGTAACACAAATGTTAACTTGCTTTACTATGCTTACAATACGTCTACTCGCTATAGTATCCAAACGAAACAATACACTGATAGAGGAAATTTAGACCAGTGAACACCGCGCGGTAATTCCCTTACTCGGTTCTAAAGCGAGTAGGGGAATTACCGCGCGCTGTTCACTAAACGTATGCATTATTTGCGGGAATCCCCGAAAATGTGTTTCGTTTTCAAGCAAAGACAATGTGAGGTTTGCCATTCGTGTAAAAAAGTAAATAACTACCGATGCCGTAATCATCATCTAGACTCCCCTACTCCCCATGTCATCCAAAATAATCAAAGTAAAGGACCGCCCGCCCCCAAAAAGTGCTCACGTAATAGTTGAACGGCCCCTTATCTACTAGTTATTTGAATTTCTCATTATTATATCCCATTCCTAGGCCAAACCTTTTCTGATGATTTTCGTTTGGCAAATTCCATAGTTTATTGATTATATAATTTCACACGTATTACATCTTTCTTTCTCAGTGACTCAGTATT